ACTATATATATATATAGTTTTATACACAGTCACATATTCACACGTGCATATTCCAGTGGTTCTATGTCTCTGCCACACAAGTCACCAAATGCAAAGTGAGACCAAGACAGTCAAAATGATCTGGCCTTTGCCTATTTTGCCAAACTCACCTTCTATCACACAGCCTCCTTTGTGTACTTTACTCCAGCCACACTAGCCTATTTTGTGCTTCTGGGACCTAGAACACTTGTCTTCTCAGCTCCCATAAACTCTGGCAGCATCTTCTACCACAGTGGTTTACCTGGCCTGCTCCTCTATGATATTCCCAATCTTGGCTCAAATGTTATCTACACACTGTTGAAAAAGATCCCCCCCACTACTATCACTACTGTGTGTCCATCTTGTTGCACTGAATTTTATATATACATATCAATGAGAATTTCCTTAACTTATACTTATTTATACATTTATTGTCTGAGTGCCTTGACTAACATGGAAATTCTATGTCAGGGACCTTTTGTGTCTTGTTCACTGTCATAACCAGTACCTAAAGCAGTGTCTAGTACTCTAAGAGCCAAGAAGTTGACATGTAGAAGGATTGGCAAGTGGGAAAAAAGTCCTTGGAAGAAACAGACAGTAATTGGAGAATGGAAAATTTAAAGAAAACAATGCTAATTGGCTATAGACTGAAAGATTCAAGGCATTATTTCAATCCATACTCGATAATGGAATACAGTGAACAAATGGAGTACAATCAAGAGACACAGTTTTTAAAATTCCATAGCAGGGTCAATTTTAAGCAGTCAACTCAGTGTCGCCAAATGCTAATTTGGAAAGGGAGGGTGCAAATTTGCCTGTCCACAGCTGGTCTGAGCCAGTAGCAGCACACCACTGATAGGTGCAGGTAGGCTGGCATGGTAGAAACAATGATGCACCATTTACATCCTCCCATCTTTTGAGAATGCTGTCAGATAAATCTTCCACTGTTGGCCCCTTCAGATATTGCCTTAGCTGAAAAGAGCTAAATGAAGTCACAGCCCCTTGCAAGGGTGGTTCATACACAATTACTTTACAGGGTCCAGTTCCCTTTCCTCAAACAGGGACCATGACAGATTATCCAATCTTCAGAACTTCTCAGAGCATTGAAAATGAAACTTTTGTTAAGGCCAATTTAGACTTTGATTTCTTCTGTGCAATCCTTTTTCTTCTTCCTTATTCTTCTGCATGGGTTAATCCCACTGACATGCCTTAAAATGTGAAGGGCATAATATTGAGTTACAACAACCCATCCCATACTTTTCTACTATAAGTTTATGCTTTGGCATAATAGTAGCCAGCTGTGCATCTCAGTGGCTGAACCTGGGGGATATGGGAAGCAATCTTTGTATTTACCATCTTGGTACAATGATTGG